AACTGATGCTGCTGGCCTAAAGGAAACTACAGTTCTGCACACACTAATTGTAAAAAGAGGAACTGTCAGCACAACAAACTTCTCACACATTCACAAGATGTTCTCAGCAAGACCACAGAGAAACAGTTAAAATGTCACTTCTTAGCATTAATTTCAAATTGCTCATTTTTATCAACTCCATGGTAGAGATCTGCTAATGGGAAAACATTTTTCCACAGAAATTTTTCCACAGAAAGTACCTTGTGTGTCATTCTGCTCGTGTGACAGGATTTCACTGCGTTCTTCCAGGATTTGTACAAGTGCAGCCTGCAGTTTGTGGGGCAGGATCTCATCCTCATCCGATACCTACAGACACAAACAGCCAAGGAAGGACTTCTGTGTTATTCCCATCAGCAGGAAAACCAGGGAGTAGATTAGAAATATTCATATCATGCCTAAAGCAGTTAGAGAGGAGTTATTCTGTGATATATCTTAAGGGAGACAATGTATTTATCTTGCAGCCACAGAAATTAAAACACATTTACTCAGCATGCCCCAAGTAGATTTTATTAGAGTCACACACACAACTGGCCATCACACAGACTCAGGCTTATTTCACCAGTAAAAAACACAAAACCAATAAAAATTTGTTGAGAAAACACAACAAGTCTCAATAATATGGTTTTTAAAATCCCCCATTCCTTTAATACCTTTCTCCAGTTGCAGGCTGCAATGCAAAACAGAACAGTGAGGCAAGGAAAAGGAGAAGCAAATATCCTGAGCTAGTAATGAAATCCCCTGCACTTTTATAGCAACTTGTCTGGGGATGCAGAAGCACTTTTGGGGAAGTTCAGCAGAGAAGCCCAAGTGAACTGAGATCATTTGTTCCCTAGACTGTCACTCCTGGGGAAAACAAGAACCCAAACCAACAAACACCCCCCAGCTGGATGAGAGCGGAGGAAGTGCTGTACAGAACAGGGAGAGACAGACAAAAAGCAGCAGAGAATCTTAGGGATCCCCTTCACATAAAAAACCAAGTAAGAGTTTTTAAATTCAGCTTAGCTAAGCAGAGCTCTCCACCTCAAACTTGCAACAAGGATTTGTGAGCCTGTTCCCTTCTCTGTCAGTTCAAAAAGATTACAAGGTATTTCTTCAGCCACTGGAGTCTCCATATGAACATCAGCTTCTCCTCATTTTTTTTTAAGTTTTTTTTCCTGGCATAAACCCACAAGTTACTGGTACTGTTATTTCACTCACCTCTTGCAAGAACTTGTCAGCACAAAGATCAACAATCAGAACCTGGGGAGACAGAAAACACACTGACTCATAACCAGGTATGTTGCTGTATGGAAAAAAAACCCCAGGTTTTAATTTGTTTTTTTAGATGGGGGATGTTTTTTAAATAGGGCTGTCACACACAAAACCCAAGTTTTGCATGGGTGCAACCTGTCTCTGAGAACAGTAAATATGATTTATTTTTGACAGTGCTGGAACATCCTGATATTTATCAAATTCACCAAGCAGCTCAGAGAACTTTGAGAGTTTATACTCAGAGAGAATCCAGAGATTATTGCAGAGAGATGCTCACAGATGCTCACCTCCTCTATGGGCAGGTCCCAGAGCTGTGGCAGGGAGCAGGAGAGGATGCCAATGAGGAACGGGGTCGGAGAGCACACGATGTCGATCATGGAAGCTGGCAGGACAGGGATGTAGGTGTGCTGCCAGGTGAAGGGGTAAAGGGTTGCCACTGCAGCGTGCCCACATTTAGACAGAGTGCTGGAGAGGTGGGAGAAGCACAGGGAGGGTGGTCAGTGTCTCCTTCAGGGCAGGCACGTGTCACTCGTGTACAGTCTGTGCATAAGCAATAGCCCCATGCACCCAGCTCTGAACTCAGTTATGGGGAGCTAAAACTACCATCAAGCCAAGCTAAAGAGGCAAAAAGGAAACATTTCCTTATTTCCTCTTGTGTAAACAGCATAATCCAAATTCTAGGCATGCCATGCTGTGTGGGGAGTGCAGAAGGTTTTCAACTGGAACTGCAAAACTAGACAAGCTTGGACGTGGGACAGGTCCAAACACAGAAGAAACAATAACATCCATCAACAGCATCCCTCAGACTCATCTTTACCTTAAGTTGTCAGCCACAAAGATGACCCTCCTTTCCAGCAGGAGGGAGGCAAACACCCGGATGGTGTGGGACACGCTCAGACACTGCAAGAGGCACTCGAAGTCCACGTGCTCCAGCCTGGAGTCCAAGGGACGGCACAGCTCCATCACCTGGAGCACACAGACATGGGGAGAGCTGGGGAGCAGCCCAGAGAGGGACCCCAGCATGAGGCAGGGCCCACCAGCTCCTCCTGAGGGGAGGACCAGGGACAGGACCCAGGGAAGGGCTGGAACTGTGCTAGAGCAGATTTAGGTTGGATTTTGGGAAAGGTTCTTTCTCCAGAGGGTGCTGGCAATGCCCAGGCTCCCCAGGGAATGGGCACGGCCCTGAGGCTGCCAGAGCTCCAGGAGAGTTTGGACAGCACTCTCAAGGATGGGATTGTTGGGGTGCCAGGAGTTGGGCTCAACGACCCTTGTGGATCCCTTCCAGCTCAGAATATTCTCTGAATCCATGATTTTAAAGAGAATCCCATGACCCAGACAGCTGGGGCAGCACAGAAGAGTGCCCCAGAAGCTCTTCATTAAGAAGCAGGGAATCACTTCCATGGCAGATGATTCCACAGCAAACACATCTCTGGGACTGCCTCCCTTTCACCTCCAGGATGTTTTCTTCACACCAGGGACAGGACCCAGGGAAGGGCTGGAGCTGTGCCCAGGGGAGTTTAGGGTGGGTACCAGGGAAAGGTTCTTCCCCAGAGGTGCTGGGACTGCCCAGGCTCCCCAGGGAATGGGCACAGCCCTGAGGCTGCCAGGAGAGTTCGGACAGCACTCTCAGGAATGCACAGGGTGGGATTTTGGGGTGCCAGGAGTTGGACTCCATGGGCAAGGGGCAGCACAGAAGAGTGCAGCACAGAAGAGTGCCCCAGAAGCTCTTCATTAAGAATCAGGGAATCACTTCTAAGGCAGGTGACTCCACAGCAAACATCTCTGGGACAGCCTCCCAGTGGAGAGCTTGGTTTAAACACAGCTTAAAGAAAGAGGCTATAAAAGGACTTAGCTAAGAGAAAAATAAAAAGCAGTTGTAAAGCAGTAGTTTTTAGGTTTGATCTTGTAAATAATTAAGTTTTTAGCTACTTTTTATATAAACAACAAGATTTTTAGACTGTTTTTTCAAAAATAGGCAATATTTTGTTTTTAGCTGCTTTAAGAACAGATAGCTGTTCTGAGAACAGATATAAAAGTTTTGAGAACTTTTCATATCATAGTGAGAACACTGATCTTAGTTTCAATAAACAAACTTCAGGTATTGTAAACAAAAGAAAGAGCTGAAGTTTTCTCTACAGCCTATCGAGAACTCAAATTTTGCAATATGCATAAAGTGAATTAACACTGTTATAAAAAGTGCCTAGTTGATCAATAAATCAGAGTCAAATGCTGACTAACAAAAGTGAGTCGTCTCCCTTCCAACTCCAGGATGTTTTCCTCACACTAATTATTTCCAGGCACCACTGTGCAGTTTGCCAAGAGCCTCTGTGCCCCAGAGAGCCCAGAGAGAGCAGGCAGCTCAGCCTGACCTGTGTTACCTCATCTCCTGCTCCTGGCAGGAAGCTCCTGACGGTGATGGTGCGGCCCGGGGCGGGGAACGGCGCCTCCATCACGCTGCGCATGAAGGGGTGCACCAGGGCTGGGGACATCTCCCTCCTCTTCTCCACCTCGTCCAGGATCTGCAGGGACACACACAGAGCCTCGGGTCACTGCTGCTGCTGGTGGCATTCACATTCTCTGAAAAAAAATCCCTGCACCCAGGGTTTTTCTGCTGGGAAGCTGAGAAACCGCAGAGAAAAGGAAAACAATTCTTATCTCATTTGCTTCTCCTGTGTTTTGCTCATGTGGAATGTGTTTGGAGATTGTTTCATTGATTTCATGTGAATTGTTTTGACTCTGGCCAATCAGGGCCAAGCTATGTCAAGACTCTGGAAAGAGTTTTCATTATTATCTTTTAGCCTTCTGTAAGTATCCTTTCTGTATTCTTTAGTTTAGTTTAGTTTAGT